TAGGTTCTTTTCTAGGTACTTGTTTCTTGCTTTATCCATTTAATCCTCAGCTTTTGTGAAAGTGTTATTGTTATTCCCTTTTTACATAAGAAGAAACTGAGGCAGAGAGAGATGAAATAATTTGCCCAGGTTTACACAGTTCATAACAGATAGGCAGGATTTAAAACTTAAAATCTCAGCACTGCAACAACAGTCGATTACTTTTAACCAGTCTTATGTACTAAGAACCAATTGGAATTGGAGAGCTGGAGAGAGAAGTTGTGAACCTAGGCTTATGCAGGGGTGATATCTTTATGAAAACAAGGAAGTCAGGTGAAAGAACAGGTTTGGCTCAAGGTGAGATGATGTGTTGTGGTTTTGACTCAATTTTGCACCTGCATTTCAAAGACGGATTAAATCATCAATGACTATTATCCAGTTGAGCTACAGACTAAATGCAGGCTAACATCTACAAGAAGTAGTTTGAGAAAAATGTTATGAATTACTGTCAAGTTATCTTCTATTAAGACTAATTGATTCTTTGATTATAGCAACTTGTCGTGCTTTGAATAAAAATCATTAATATCTATGAGTGTTGGAAAGTATGTTTGATTTTTTACAAGTGTTTTTTTTTTAATTTTATCAGTTTTATATCCAATACTTTCAATTGACATAGAGGTTTAAACTAACAAGGACTTGTTTTCACACTGAAGTTGTAGACAGAATTGATTCATAAATTTATAATTTTTCTTCTCTCATTAAGCATTTGATTAATCTCTAAATCCTGGTATACATTAACCATCCAATAAGTGTTCTTTAAATTACAATGATCAAGTGTTCAGTCTTCAATATATTTAATTTATGTCATGCTTGATATGTGAGATATTTTAACATAGCACTTTAAATGTCAATTTGAATTGTAGAGTGCTGGAATCAGAGAATTCCTTTGGAGATTTTCTCATCTAAAGTTGTTTGATTTTAAGGGCTGAGTGAAAAGCTAATTTATATTTGTATTCTTGAAAGACAGGACAAGTACAATGACTATGGGGAAAATATTTTTTTTTTGAGGGAGTTGTGTGTTTTTGTATTTTCCTGAAGCCAAAGGTTATTGAAACGGGAACAAGCTTAATAAATAAGTAAAATGTAATGCAATATTTAGGCCTGGGACACCCAAATGAACGGTAAGTTCTATAGTTGCAGAGTTTGCAGTTATTTGGTTGAATTCTGAAATCAAATTATTTATTCAACTAAGAACAAGGCCTGCTAAGGGATGTCTAGTCTTACACAGAATTTTTATTTTCTTTGCAGACCATGAAGAATCATTGGAATCACAATTAGAATAATATTTGTACTCATAGCACTTGAGAAACCATGTATTTCTTTCCTTTCCCTTTCCCTATTCTCCAACTTCTGGGCAAGTTCTCACCACTAAGCTCTAAAGCTTATTTCCTATTGCCTATAACGGGGATTTTTCTCAGGGCCTTCCCAGCACTTGAAGCTTGGATCTAAAACTAAAACCTACAAAATAAATAGAAAAATGTAAAGGAAGTACAATCCTTTGACTTATTTTTCATGGGAATACTATTTTTCTGGGTTGGCCAAGATTTATGAGTTCTCATGTTTGCCCATTTATATATAGTCAATAAAGCCATAACTTGGTTCACATTTAAATTACTCAGAACGTGCCCTCATCATGTAAGTTTTGTGGACTAGATATGTGTCATTGAGACACAAATCTGGTTCTGTCACAGTGTCAATGTGTGACCATGGACAAGTTGTTCAGTCTCTTTGAACTATTCACTTGATCTAGTGTTAACTAGATAATTAGATGACCCTTTGTTTTCTTCATAAAGGAAAAATGATGGGACTATTAATAACTTTAAGCAATTGGGTACAATTCAATGGACTGAACTGATGCTCTGACTCTGGGCATGCTGATCTAACCTCCAGAATCCTTCTCCAGGGTGAATAATGCTCAGCTCTGGGGCCACTCCCAGATGCACACACCCTGACATGTAAAGATGACAAGCCTCTCTTCCTCCTGTCACCCCCATTTCCTCCTCCAGCCTTTAATAGTCACCAATAGTCTCCAGTGAATGCCCATCTGAAGATGACAGGATGGCTCACCCATGTCACCTTCCCCCTAGCACTTTCTCACTCTCTTCAGGGAACACTGTTCCCTTCTGCCTCCCATCACTCACAGCTCAGTATATTTCATCTTAAAATCTCTCACAAATGCATTTTTATGCATTTACTTTCCCATAAATCTCTTTGCTCTCCCCTTAATTACCTAAGCCAAATCTCAGAATACTCTTCTGTTTCACTTGTGGGAAACAATGTCCAGTCTTGTCTAGAAGTATGAGCAAAAATAACGATAGCCTTCACTAAGAAAAAGAAAAGCTGAAAACTTTAAGGTTAAATCCAACTTATAAAGAAACAGTGACATCTGTTTCCAAAGTTCTTCAGACTGTTGATTCTATTCAGAATTTCTGCAATTTTGTGGTTTTTAAAAACGTAAACCTATTCATCCATTATGGACAGCAGTCAAAATATACATAGACTGTCACAGGATTTAATTTTTCTGTTTTTGGTTACTAACATGGCAAAAATATTGTGTGCTATAAATGTACTAGGTTAAATTCCCACAGGTAAAAATGTAGTGAGAGAGGAATAAATGACTGTGGGGGAGGATGGGGGCAGGAGTGGATATCAGAAAAGACACTACAAAGAAAAGGATGCTTGAACTGCTAGAATGGGACTTCGTAGTTTGAACAGACATTTTTCAGTTGACTGAGTCAAAGAAAGACATCCAAGGCAAGGCTCACAGACAGGGCACTACTTGAATAGCAAGTTGTTTAGTATTGTTGAAGAAGAAACTGAGGATCTGAGGTAAAGGTCAGATGAGACACACACACACACACACACACATACACACACCACACACACACAGAGAAGAGAGAAACAGAGACAGAGACAGTACCATCTAGTTTGGTGTGTTTATTTGTTTTTGCTTTTTTTTTTTGAGATGCTTTCTACCTTAAACCCCTGTACAAGAACAAAGCATAGCTTAAACCATCACTTTTTCAAAATTAAAAAAATGCCAGATATTTTGAAATATTTTACAAGTGTTCCAGTGTCCCTCATTGGCAGGCTATTACGGCAAAAATGGCTCAGTTGAAGAGCACCTGGTGGGAGGAGAACATGCAGCGTCAGCAACAAGGTGTGAGACCACTTGGAAAGTGAAGCAACTGGTCTTTGGGGCTTCATCATGTGGCCCAGAAAGTCAATATGGAGGATAAGGCTTTATGCTCATGACAAAACGTGAGCCTGAGAATGGGAAGCAGGGGAGAAAGAAGACAAAGTGTTGGAATGGAGTCTGCCTTGAAACCAAGGTAGCCACCAAGACATATTCAAATTCAAGTGAGGCAGTGGTCCAGGGACAAAGTAACACTCAACTAGCTCAACTTTATAACAATCCAGAAAAATGTACCTTTTAAGTGATAAGAAAAGTTACAAGAGCTCTGTTTTCTCCCTGTAGTATTGCTTCTTTAATAACTAGACATCCATTAACATATAACATAAATAATAATATACCTAGTCTCACAATCATGTTAATATCTGCTGACTAGATAGTTTTATCAAAGGTGTGATTTGAATTATGCATCATACTTACTTAATATTCTACAACAAACCAAGACTGGTAATAATTGAAGAGTCACAGTTAACTTTTCTGCCCAGGTGGGTTTTTCCATCTTTCTTATTTGGGATTCCTTAGGCATTACCTCATTTCTTCCGACCAAGACCCACTTCTCTGGGCACCCATCTCCTATTTGCCACAGAAAACTCAGTTCCATTGATTCCCTTCTCTGTCCCAAGTATTCACTGTTTACCAAAGACTAACATTGTTGTGTTTTTCTTCCTTTGAAATCTTTCTTTCCCTCAGACCATTATTTTTTAGTAACATTTAGTGAAATTTTCAAATTTTTAGGCAACTTAGAACAACGTCTGTATAAAATGATTAAAAACAAAATTAGTCGAGTTTTGATTTCCTAGTCTCTTTCCATGAGAAAGAGAGAGGTAATTGTTGGTATATCTTTCCATCTAGTCCCCCATCTCTTACCACCAATGGTATGCCAGGGCTAGCCCAGACTTCAAATACATAAACACACGCTCACATTCATTCTTCTACAGTGGACCACCACTTTCCAAATAGCTGCCAACACACTCCTTAAGGAAGGCGGCCCCTGCACACATTCATAGGATACAGCATTATCTGGGCCCCTTGAGATCTTTGACAGGGTTCCTGGGTGTCTTTGTGGCTGCACTGCCCAGCGTTCGAAACACAGCAAAGTTCTCCGTAACTGACCCGAACACAGCACATTCTTGCAACATGACAAAGCCCCAAATGAATCATTTGCACATTTATGGAGTTCATTTTTCCTGTCATCAATGAGGGAATCCGTATTATTGCCATTTATCAAAATGGGAAACTGAGGCAAGGAAATGTACCAACTTTCCTATCCCATAAAAAGCTTCCTGGCCAAAGTCAGTTCTGGGACCATTCATATGTACCATAGTTAAACATATGTTTCATAGTTAAACATTGGAAACATATTTTAATATATACTGAGCATTATAAAAAGCAAGCTAAGAAGAATATTCTCTTGGTGATAACTCTGACTTGTCAACAAGAAATTGCAGAGGCAGTAATAGACAGTAAAGAGCACCCAACCCACCCCCTGCTTCTGGGGGCTGAAGCTCAGGAAATTCCACTTGCTTAAGCCATGGGGCAAGGGACCCAGATGCCTTGATTTTCAGGCTATTAATGCTCCTCCTACCACAACACTCTTAATTTTCAGATGCATTTCTGTAACAGAGCAAACCTTCATTAGTCACAGACCTCGGACCCTCTGCTGCACAGCCCCGTCTTCCTTCCTTTCCCCATCTTTATGGTGTGACCTCTCCAAGAAAGGGACCGAAAGTAACCCGACCTGGCCGTTCACACCTCCCAGTCCATTTACCTGGAAAGCTGTGCAGAGCATCTTCACTCTCCGGGATGCCTCTCTGCCTGGTCGCCTGCAGCTCACTTTTGGATTTCCAAACCAGCTTGACCATCCTGATCATCTCTGGCAAGTCCCAGGGCAGCGGCCCCTGCTGGCACCCCGGCCGGCCGCCCGGGGAGGAGGGCAGCACACCTTCTGGGGCTGTCCACCGCCTGCCTAGCTCTGCCGAGTGGAAATAGTGCTCCAGCACAGGCATTCTGCCCCGTTCCCCAGAAGAGGAGGTAGGGCTGTTGCCGCAGCCACGGGTGCTGCTAGCAGAGGGGAGATTCTTCCCGGGCACCACGGGAAGGAGAGCCCCCGAGAAATCCTCTCCAGCTTTGGAAAGGCAAGCCTCCTCCAGCCTGGCGCGGCCACCCTGTCCCTCCAGTCCCTCCACAAGCGCTGACAGCGGCCGCGATGCACTTCCCTGGGCTTCTCGCTCAGTGAGAGCTGATACTACACTCCTTCCTTAGAGATAGAATGCATTTTCCCCCTTCTCTCTCAGGCACTGACTTCACAGCACTTAATTAATCCCAGGCTGCAGCTGGAACCACAGCAGGGGGAAAGCCATCCAGGTTTTAGCATTTGCTTTTCCTCTTCCTCTGATGTATTTGTTCTCAGTTCTCCTTTGGTGCTTGTCAAAGTTTGTCGAGTGGCCTGTTTAGCCGTTAAGGACTTCAGGCAAAAAAAAAAAAAAAAAGTGGGTCACCCTTTGCCAGCTTCTCGCAGGGGTCCCCTAGAGGCCGGCTCCTCGGTGGGGGTGTTGGTGCAGTCAACCCCGTGGTGCAGGAAGCAGGCTTAACGGGAAGCTGAGCTCCCGCAGAACCAATTTGCAGCTGCTTCTCTCGGGATGATCTGGCTGGGGGCCACCTTGCCTGTCCACTGAGGTCTGAGCCACGGGGATGGGGCTTTTCAAAAGGCTCTTGGGTTGATCCTCAAACACCACAGGTCAGATACCCACCCCGCCTCCTTCACACCCCTCCCCCTTTGCTGTCATTTGGTTCTCAGCAAACCTAACTGGATTTTGGCCTCTTAGTCAAATCCGTTTGTAACCTTAGCTGCCCTCAGTTGGAAGGGAAATAACATTGAATAACACTCCAAAGCTAACTCTGAAAGAAGTGAAGTAGAGAGGCATCAAGATCCTCATGCAAATGGGCAGTAGGGTTGCACGGTTGGGACACATAGCTTGGGATTGTTAAAAACCCACTTCCTAGGAAAATAATAGTAATTTTAAAGGTATTTGCAGAGGGCATAAATGGCAGTGGAAAGAAAGGAAAGTAAGTGTCGAAGATTCACTTTCCAGAGACAGAGCACTGTGGACTTAATATTTGGGCCACTAACTGCTGTGCCCCCACTGAGAGTGGTTGAGTTGAGGACAATCATGGGTCACACAGCTAGGGTTCCAGGGGCCTTGGGAGTCAGAATCCATACAACAAAGAGGATGCCCCCTGTAGCTTGTGTGAAAAGATCTGGACATAAACGAAAGTAAGGTGGTATTGTAGTTCGCACTTTTGCCAGCAAATCGGGTTTGTGGGAACAAATTGAACTTGAACATTCATGCGGATAGCTTCTGTTTTCTTGGAGGCCATTGCAACAATCCTGTCTTTCCTGCATTGCAAAGTGCGTTATTTTGCTTGGCATTTTATTTTGCTGATGTAAAATCTGTCACTCCTGATGTACTATATTTCTGTCAGTGTTGGTTTATCACACAATCATTGGGTGTTTCTTTAGGGGAGGGGAGAGGAGACTTGGGGGAGAGGAGAAAGATCGTTGCAGGGTGTGTTTTATTTTCATGGCCTTCATGTCATTTTTTAAAAGTTGAAATCAGCAACTGTAATTTTGTTGTTTTTATTATTCTTCTAAACCCACGGTTAATAAGTTTAGTTTTCCATACAGAATTAAGTGGCTTTTCTTTTTTTTCTGGATAGAAAAGTACACTGGCAAACCTACATCCTCTGAGGGTATAAAGCAACAGTAAGTGACATTGAAAACACTACTGCTTATGAATTTATTATTTAAAATATTAACCAGACAAGCAGATATTCCTACAACCCAATTAGGGAATAATCAGTGATCCATTTTTGAGAAAGATGTGCCTTGTTAAACTTCCCTCTTTGTTAAGAGATGAAAGCATTTAAGCATCTGTCTGACACTTGTACCACTTTTGACAACCCTTCCAGTTTTTATCTTTTCTTTTCATCAGAGGGAGGGCATTAAGTCTCTCCAGAATCGAGACTGTTTTATTTAATAGGCACATGTAGGCAGTTGTACTCTATTAGCATATTTCCTGAATAATGTCTTAAACTCACTCCTCAGTCACAAACTTCCTTGACATAACAACTGAAGAGTTCCCTAAGTGTTTGACTATTTTTATTTTTGTTGAGTTTTTTTGCAATAGTACTTAGCATCAGGATATCCTGACCCTCAGAACAAAGGGGTTAAGAACAAAGAAAACAGATAAATGGTATGTCACATACACTAATGTATTCATCATACAACTCTACATTACACATTTCTTAAAGAATGGCATTAAAAAAAAAAATCCAAGGATATGTTTTAACTGTATTCTCTATATTGTTCTACACATTTCCTTGTAAAAGATATCTTAGAAGAGTTATGTTCAATGTTAGATCATTGAACATAAATACTTCCTACTGGAGATGAATTAGGGCCAAGCAAACACCATCTCAAAGGTGGAAGTAGGAAGTTACTTCATTTGAAGGTTTGATAATTGAAGATGTTGCACAATTAAGAAAAATCCTCCCCAATATGGGATTCTCTTCATCTTGGGGTAGAAGTGCAAAAATACCACAAGAAAGGTCATTCTCATGGTATTTCTGGCTCACATAGAAACAGGAAGTACAGGAAATCTTGCGAGAAAGCTTGGCTCAGGAGATTTTTGGCTCAACTGCAAGCTCAGGAGATTGGGACAAACAGACAAGATGCAAGCCCTTGTTGGACTAAAATCACTAAACCACAGAAATTCTCCAAAAGGTGATTTTGCCATATTCCATAGCTAGCATCTCACAGGCTGTGATCTCTTTTGTCTTCTAGAGAGTTCCTTTAGAAGAGCATTCTGTAAACCTATGACTTTAACCTTAGTCAGTGTGCAGCATTAACATGGAGACACTACCTATCTGCAGCTAGAAGTCTGAATCACTGGGGATGGGGAAATAAGGATGGGGAGGAGGTTCTGTACCTAAAGGGGTCATGGAGCAAAGAGGACTCATCTATGTGGCATGTGAAGCCAAATCTTAATACCCACAAATACGTACCACAGATAGGAAATTTTAAGATAGACTGTCAAAATAACCTCATTTCCCCCCAGGCATTGTGAGTCAACCTAACATCCCATTAAGAGGAAATAGATTAGTTCTCCCGTAAAAGAAACAGAATGAGTACTAGCAAAGTCAAAACAGCTTGTTCCAATGGACACCTAATTCTATCAGAAATACTTTGCCATGTGTTTGCAGCTATAAAGGAAAGAATTGATAGCCACAATATTAAAGTATATGGCCAAGAAAAAAAAAAAGTCAAAGACATACAGAAGTTCCTCAAATAATAGTTAGTTCAAGTCATTTCCTTGTAATGTTGATGAGATTCCCTAAGACCTTAACTCTTGTTTATATCAATTAGCTTATGCTAAAATTGGCTTTGTTATATGTAAGTTTGCATAAAATTGCTGAACCTACTGACATTAAGTGAGGATTTATTATAATTGATTTAGAACCTGGGTTATTTTGAAGAATTTCTAGTGTTTGGGAGGCTATGTAAAAATCATGTAGACTTGTGGGTGTACTAGTCACTAGTCAGATAAGCCATTATCATATACTGGAGGCCTGATGCACAAAATTTGAGCAAGGTCCTCAGCTCTTGCAGCCTCGGCTTCATCCGTAAGGATGTCCAGAGGTTGTTTGGCTGTCCAGTCTAATTAGCATATTATGCTTTATTATTAAAAATATTTACAACACTAAATATTTCTGATCTAAAATGAGAATGTACATTTAAAAATAAAAACTTAGAAACATATACTCATTTCAATTTCCTGTTATTTTGAGTCTGTCAATAGATTCTCACAAAACTTCATTTTAATGACAGTCTTGCACAAATATTTAAAAGAATACTTTATATTCTTATTAGTTCCCACCCCTTCTCTATATTTAAAGAAAAATTTCAAGCTATTGAGGGAATTTATTCAAATTTATTAATTTCCTCCTGGCTTTTCCTTTCCATTGGTTCAAATATAGATGTGTAAACACACACACACACACACACACACACACACACACACTTATGACCACTCTGGTTTCACAAAGGCAATGTAAATGAAATTCAAAATGAGCAATAAATGGAAAACAGGTCTTTTAACTTTGTTTAATATAGTCTAAGTAGGAGAAGCTCAAACAATTTACAGTGTCCTTCAGGAAAAATAGAAATGTAATAACTCTGCCTTAACTAATCTCAGGGAACAATGCCAGCAAGTGGGGAAAAGGATTTGGTCCTCAGACTGACCATAGAAGGCAGCACGTACTTCCACTGTCATGTGGAAAGGGAGGAGAGAGGGTGGGGCAAGATGAGGGAAGATGAGGTGGGAGAAGTGGAGGGGTTGAGCTGACAGATTCATCGTTTGATTTTACAACAGGTGTCTGAACTATAACCAATCATTCTCTTATTCACTCCACAAATACACGAGAGCAGCAGCAGAAGGGAGACTCTTTGTGCCAGTCCATGGGTGCTTTTTCAGGCACTGGGACCTGCCTGGCCTCCGCCACCTGATCCTAGTTTGCATTGTGAATTGCCACTTCTTGTTTTACTTTTCTTTGTATATTTAAAGAGAAAGACCAGGGTTTTAGTTGGCATGAGACCTCTATCCTGGCTCTCACATAACTTAACGAATGCTAAGTTGACTGTCTCTGACAGTTAACCCACAACAAACAAGTCCAATAAGACAAGGGGTAAAAACAAAATAGCCTAAAGGCTAGGTTTTCTCCACTTTGCTCTTCTCTCTGCTGATGAAAACCCATACATATAAAAAAGACACTGTAGCAAGGTAACACTAAACAAACAAAAAATCAACCCGTTAACCAACCTGCCCTTCCCCCAAACATTTCTAGTCCCTCTGTTATTGAACTGATACTTTGCTGTGTGAGGATGGCATTCTCAGGCTAAAATTTTTCTAAGACTTCCCAACTTGTTTCTGATTGCGAAAGACTGTAAGTGGTGGTAGAATATGTTTTTCATAATTTCATATTTGGTGTGTCAATTTCTGAAAAAAATAGTTACTACAATGAAATCTCTGAAGTAATCCCCTAAAACTACTTATCTTAAGGTTATAAAAACTATGAACTCACCACTCCGCTTTGCCTTAAACTTAGCCACTTGTCTATAAATGGATATTATGGCAATAACCATCTTATCCATCATTTTGGAATCTTGTAACAATAAAATAAGAGTAGAATGTGAGTTACTTGCAAAACCATAATGTTCTTTACAATTTTCAAGTTATTGTTTTAAGCTATAGGAAATCATAATTGACAACTTATCCAAAGTCTAATTTTAGCTATACTTTCCTAGAATCTATTAGAAAGCTGAGAAGTCAAACCACCTTAGAAATAGGTCCCACTTTGGAAATTTGTGGTCCTCATGAGAATTCAGGAGTAGAAGAAACAATGATAGGTGTATTGGAGAGAGACAGAGTATTGGAGAGTGGGCCAATGGGAGAGGCAGTGAGGGATTTTATGGTAGAAAGATGAGGTAAGTAAGGTAGAAAAAATAATTGAGGTGGGAAAGAAAATAGGGATATAAAAGA